TATCTCAAATCTCAATTGCAGTTTTTATTGGTTCAAAACTTTGGAGATATCACATGTCTTCATTTGCCATGGAATTTTTCCCCTTGAAAAGGGTCCATATGATTGTCAATAGAATTTTGGGGCTTGCCCCATTGAAAACCATTTTAATACAAACCTTAATGTCTAAGTTATAATAATTAACAATTTAAATTTAAATAAATTTGTAATAATTTTCTTTTAATAAAAGTAAAAATTTTTAAGTTTAAATCATACAATATATAAGTAAAATAAGTTATGAAATAAAAAAATTATTTTTTATTATATAATAACAAATATAGTATATATAGATATATAATACTGTAGATAAATGTTCACAATTTGAATTAACTAGTTTTTTCGCACAAAAGGATGGCTTTAAAAATAAATAAAAAAATGAAAAATTGTCTACCCTAAAAGATGAGTCTTCACGGAACTTCAAAAGCCCCAGACGCGGAACTTCAAAAGCCCCAGACGCGGAACTTCAAAAGCCCCAGATTGTAGACCCAGAGAGTTCAAGAACCTTGGAATTTAAGGTCAGACACAAAGAACCCAACCTCCTATAAAAACCAAGCACCAACATTTTAAGAGTCGAGTAACAACGCACTAACATTTTTCACTGATAGAGAAAATTGTAGCAATCATGGAGGTTGATAACTTAGGCTTCTTTGACAATGTTGGGTGCAAATCCTCTCACTCACCACCTTATTTTGTAAATTTTTAATTAATTTTAAATACCTTTAATAATTTTAATTAATACTTTATATATCAAAGTGGTATAGTAGACAACACGAATTAAACTCTTAATGTTTTAAGGCTATGGTAAAACTCCCAAATTCACCCCTCAAAATAGGAAGGGACAAATCCACTACTTAAAAAAAATGCAGGGACAGATTACTCTTCAAAATTATAAATTAAGACAAATCACCCTTCTTTTAATGTGTAACGTTAAAATTCTATTTCTATTTACCACGTAAACAATTTTTAATGAGAAACTGACATCTACATGTTAAAAAATAAGTGATTTATTTCAATTTATAATTTAAAAAAACAATTTATCCTTATATTTTTTTAGTAACGAATCTATCCCTACCCCTATCCCTACCCCTATCCCTACCCCCTATTTGAGAGGTAAATCTCAGGGTTCTATCCTATCCACCCATTTAATAATTCTTATTTTAAAATTGAGCACAATCAAATTTCAAAACGAAAAACTCTTTGCATATTTTTGGACAGTAAAATATAAAAACCCCAATAACCATAGCCACACCAACAAACACGGCTTAATTTCTTTCCCGCAAAGATTATACCTTCTTTGAGATCATCAAACATTTCCTGTAAGGATGGTTGAACAACGCGAGGATGTCTCAAACTCTCAGCTACAACTAATAAAAATTTGAGACTTCAAATACGATCTCATACTCCAACATTGAGGTGAATGAAGAGGGATTTAGGGAAAAGAAAAACCATTCCTATTATATAACCCATTATCAAATCTACATTGAAAACTATCAGGACAAACTGCACCACTTTTTAGAGATATTTCACAGGGACAACACATTTTCGGAGAAAAACAACTAATACAAACCAGACAGAGAGAAGAATATGCTCCTAAGAAAAAGGTTTTCCTTCTATTCATTTCCTCGTGATGCTTGAGCCCAAACAAGAGTATCCAGAGAAAATAATTTTACAGGAATTGCCTATTATTTGTACAGCAAGATGAAATCACAACATGCTTCATCGTCCTACTTCCTTTCTATACCCCAAGAAAAATTGATTAAAATTTTTGAGTAAAAAAAAATATTTTACCCATATGGTAACACAGTTGAGTGCGGTGGGTAACCTACAGATTAATCTCCTCAAGGCTAACATTGCAAGCAAGAACAAAATGGCTATCCAAAACTTTTCCATCTAATTGTCATCCTCGTCATCTGCACATGAATTAGGAGATGAAATTTGTCGACAGAGATGTAAGTACTGTTTATGATGCATTGGCCAAGTTGCATGACAAATGGAATTAAAAAAGTGTTACTAATTGTACATGGGCTGATGACATTATATTACACAGCAACTAATCCTAAACGTGGGAGAGGGATTTTGAAATTCAATGGATGACCAATAACCGTACAGACAACCACAATCTCACAAGTATCATAAACAACCTCATATAGATATCATGGATCAAATAGCAAGAATAAATTATGAAGTAAAAAAATGCTTACCAGATCTAATGTCCTCTCCAACTTTTCCTCTATTTTCCAGCTGTCTCATGATCATTGAACATATGAGAATCCACCAGTAGATATGGAACACAAGTAGCATCAATAACATTGTATTAAAAACATAGTATAGCGAAGTGGGATAGGCCTCTGATAGATTCAAGAATTCCCGAACATCATAGCTGTAAAATGCCAACAACAAGAACAGCTAAGTATGAGGCTACCACGTAGAAAATGTTGTGAACTGAAATTGTTTAAGCATGGAGCAAACCTTGAAGTTTTGATAACCCAAAATGGAAAGAATATTAGTCTTAGCAATAACCATGAGATTGCAAACAATCCAAAGAACACACTTGCTCCTAGCTCCCTTTCAGAATATTTAAAAACTTTAGCAGCTTCCATAAACACGTCGCTAGCATCATGCAGGGCTAGTATAATTGAGCCAATGCGGAAAAACCTGTAAATGAACAAATTGTAATTTATCTCAGTAGATACTGGCAGTGCTGGTATATAAAACTTACATGTATTAAAACTTTAAAGGATCCTATTCTATTCTTATGAAGACAATATAAACTGTCAAGAGCAATTCCTCTCTTATAGGGATTCTCTTACAAATCAAAATCACAATCCCAATGAAGGCATCCAGTGGACAGTTTCTGATTTAGTTTAAACATGTATCCTCACTCACAACGTTAAGACAGTAAGAGCATCAAAAAAATCAACAAAGTGAAGAAGTGTCATTCCGAGTATGGGTAACTGGGATCAGTTAAACCATCACAAAATTTCCAAGAAAACAGGCATAAACATTATACTTTGAGTACACAGTACCAAACTGCCATGTCACACAAACTGGGGCAGGGGGTCACCTAGTCACAGACGCTACCGACAGCTAAAAGGATAACAAGAGACTATAGTTCTTAGAACTACAAGGGTATCGTAGTTCAAACATAACTGATAACAACCTTTAAGACTAACTTCGTGGCACACAGATACTAGCAAAGAACTAAAAGAAGGATTATATAAAATTGAACTAGAGCTGAGTAAATGGCCAAAAAAAAAAACTAGAGCTGAGTGGACACAGTGTTATGAATCTACCATTTACACTTTTCACAAATAGTAAATAACCATCACAACAGCCCATGATAATATACACTTCTTGAAACTTAAGAAATGTATATTCTGAATTAATTAGAGAAGATGACATGGTTCAACATAAGGCTTTTCAACTGACAATGAAATGATTGCTAACCATCTTTAAAGACTAGACTTTAAATGTCAAGACAAATCAAAAAGATTGGAAACAGAGGACTGCTAGTGAGGATAATAACACAATGATACCAAGCCAAACAGGTTACAAATAGTGAGCATTACAAATAATTTTCTGTTCCGCTATGCAGTTGTGAGGTAAGTAATGATATACCCAGAAAAATTGGTGTTACCTTGTCATGTATGAGTATGCAATCAGGATAACGGTAATTACATGATGGGACATCATGACAGCAAAATCCTTTCTTCGAGTTTCCCAAACAAGGAGAGCAACAATGCTATAAATGTAGAACCCACATTGGCACATGTAAAAAAGCTGTAGAGGAAGCCTGAAATTACAATAAATAAATAAGTATACAAGTCATAGCAGGCATAACACTCTCCCATCCACCTAAAACCCATTCCCCAATAACTTGCTCAACTGTGAATGTGAAGATACAATATTTTACTTTCATTAAAGCACGGAAAAGCACTTAAGAATTTATTTTCCTTTTTTGATGTTAAATCTATTAATATTCAGAGAGAAATTTTAAACAAAATTTATGCTAGGTTTTAAGAAGACATTGAGAAATTTAAACAAAAGATCATATTCATTAGAAGTTTTCCCATTAACAAAAGAAGAAAAAACAAAGAGAGCCAACAGCTTAAAAGTTTTTAAGCGGAAATCAACTCTGTTTTTATTAGCATATTACACTTGTTGTATTTAGGATATAGAGACCAGGGTATTTGAAGGATCAAAAGACACAAACACAATTAGCTGTTACATGTCTGGCAAAGAGTACACCAATCAAGCAACCATAATGTTCATTTGAGGAACAGTGCATATTACAGTGTGCTTCGAGGCAAGGCAACTAAGAGGAACTAATTTCAAATTCCAATAAAAATTGCAAAGGAGATTATCTTCTAAATTGAAAGTTAAATACCCCGCAAACAAACCACAGCACAACTTTTTCCTTAAAAGAGGCTAACAAGTTTCACCAGACCAATTACTGTTAATAAAAAACAATGGAAAAGTAAGAAAAAGAACATGAAAACTGAGGGAACATACTCTTTTGTCAATGATGATATGTACTTTCAAGAGATAGTGTTATGCTCACTTACTTAATGAGAAAGTAAAGTTAGGCAAAAGACTGATATTCATGCTAGCTGTGAAACTTAAATTGTTTCGATTTTACTGAAAGAAAAAGGAAAATGGAAAACTTTGAGAAGACATAAGAGCAGGGTTCACAGGGAGATAAAAATTGTAGTCTGTACTAGCACTGAACTTTGCCAAAGAGAAAGCATCTACTGCAATGAAGAATGATAATAGACGCAGAAATATGAGATTTGGCAATCCAAAACATAATGGCGTTTTCTCTCAGTTAATATTAAAACCAGTTAAGCACATAGAAAAGCACATAAGCACACTGGTATATTGGGCTCAACGATTCAATAATTTGATTTTTAAAAAAATAAAGAAAAAAAAAAAAAAAAAACCAAGAATACAATTACTCACTTCAGCTCCTGATCTGGCCAGCCTCTGAAGTACCCTTTTGTATCTCTGAACCATGGCTCTTGATAAGTGATTTTGAGAACAAATATTTCAACAGCAGTATAGTACGCTAGCTTCCACATAGATTCTGAGCATTTTACAATTTTTGCTCCTGTAGCCTCATTCATCTTCAATGGAGCAGCTCCATCACTCAATAACCAGGTGGCAAGCCTCTAAAATGGCATCAGTCAAAATCAAAAAGCATGAAAAAAAGACCAAGTGTTATGCATCTTTGCTGAATGCGCTCAAATTTATAAGTACCCACATAAAGTAAAACACTCAACAAAACAAAAAAACATTTTATGATCCTCTCCTTGAATCGTTATCACATATGGACGAGAAATATTGCTTTTGTCTTACAATAAAAATAAGATTTTACATTCTAAGTGAATTTCAATTTATGTCAATGATTACCAAGGAGTCAAACAGAATAAATATATAGAAAATTAGCGATAGCTGGCAAAATTATTTTTCATCTTTAAAGAAAAAATAGTTTTTTACAGGAATCAAGTATATCTTACTCTACTGCCAAAAAAAAAAAAAAAAAAAAAAAAAAA